GAGCCCCTCTTCCCTCGACTGGGGTCCAGCCGCGGCCCGAGGCGCCACCTGCAGCCCCGTGGCCCTCGGGGTCCCGCGGCCTCTCCACCCCTCTGCTCCCTCCGCCCGGGGCCGGTGACGACCCAGCTGGTCACCCCAAGGCCCTGGGCATGTCCCCCAGTCTCCGCGGTGCTCAGGCCGCCGCGTCCCCAGCCTCCCGCCGGAGCAGGTGTGGGTCGCGCCGGGACCAGGGCCCGGACCGGGGCGGCGGGCGGGCGGCGGCGGTATCGGCCCTGCGGGGCTCGGCGGGATGGAGTCATCGGGGCGGGGAGCCGCGGAGGTTTCCCACGCAGCGCAGCGCACCCCGCGATGGACCCACTGATTAGAGGGGAGCTGGGGAGGAGCCGGCCGAGGGGGCCCACCCCGCCCAGACCCAGGACTTCATTTCCTGCTCAAAGTGGCCCTGGGAGGACTGGGGGACCTGGGCCTCGCTGCCACCCCTAACCTCCCTCCCCGGCCCCCTTTCCTGGACCCAGGGTCTAAGTGTCCTATTTTTGTCTCTCTGGTCACAGGGGTTCAGGGCCCGGACCCTCCACCTTCAGACCACCCCGGTGCAGTCCCTGTCCCCACCCCACTCTGGTCGCTTGTTCTGGCTCCTTCCTGACTCCACTGCGCCCGCCCCCAGTCTCCCCCCTGGGGAGCCCAGCCTGGAAGCAGCCGAAGCTGCTGGTATTTGTGACAATTACTAGCTTTTAATGGAAAGGTTGGGCTCTGGAGGTGACAATGGCCTCATTCTGTGGAAACATGAACTCATGACCCAGTGACCTCCCTTTGCCCACGCCTAAGCTCCAACAGCAAAATGGCACATCCCAGGGCTGGTGGGGGGCACAGAGGGATCCCCAGGAGAGGCCAGGCCAGGGCGCCCACCCCTGCTGCCTACCCTAGTGCCCCCCTTTCAAAACCAGTCCCTGAGGTCTGGCAGGGAAGGGGCTTGGTCGTGGTCACGGCACATCATGTGACACGTTGGACTCTCTGGAGGCTTAGTGGGGTGGAGGGCTTGTCCTTACTGGCCCAGCCCATCCCCACCGGGTTGCTTCTTGCCACCTGTGAGTCCCCAGGGACCCAGTGGTGTCCTTGGATGTCCCCACCCGCTAGCACCAGAAATGGGCTGTATGTGACCCAGGAAGTAAAAGTCTCACCTGCCCAGAGGCCCCTCTCTGGCTGGAAGGGTACCTCCGGCTCTCTCCGGCCTCTCTGGCCTTTGCCCAGCGAGGCCTCCACGCAGACACCATTTCCACTCAGGTGCACTGGCTGGACACGGTGTCCTCCTGTCCTTGGTTTCTCCTCCTGGGGCACCCGCTCCCAGGGAAGCCCTTCCTCGCCTCCTGGAGAGGCCCAACACCGGCACACTGAGCTACCCGCCCCCAGCAGTCGGGACAAAAATTGCACATGCTGGCAATCCCAGTGTCTCGGGAGGCTGAGGCAGGAGGATCGCAAGTTCCAGGCCAGCATAAGCAATTTAGCAAGGCCCTAAGCAACTCAGCGAGACCCTGTCTCAAAGAATAAAAAAATAAAAAAGGGCTGGGGATGTGGCTCAGAGGTGAAGTGCCCTTGGGTTCAATCTCCAGTACTTCCCACTCGCCCCAGAAAAAGAATGGATGAAGTTAATTTTAGGAATAGATTTTACTTAATCTGATCTGTCCATCATTTCAACATGGAATCAAATCAAAATTACTCTGAGATGCTTTATAGGCATCTTGTCTCCATTTCAATGCTCAGTTTCCAACAGTTGAGTTAAATGTACCAAATGTTACCAAAGCATTCCTGGTGCTTTCAAGGGGGAAGTGTTTTATATTGTTTCTGCTCTTAAAGTCACATGTAAATTACTTAACAGGAAATATAATTGAAAATGTCCACTTCCTTGGTCACATAAGCCACATTTCTAGTGCTAACTAGCCACTGCATTGGCCAGCTCAGTTCAAAGCCATGTTTACTTCCTATCTCGTTTTCCAATTGATCCATAAGAGGCATCTCCAGGTTGGAGGGATGGATGGATGGATGGATGGGTAGACAGGGGGATGAGTGGTTTGAGGGATGATGGATGGATAGAGTGAAGATGTACTGTCAGTTTTTATTACTATAACAAAATACCTGAGGCAGGCTGTTGTATAAAGAAAAAGAAGTGGCTCATGGTTCCCGATGTACAAGGATCAAACAGCATTTTGCAGGTTCTTGGGAGGCTCCCTGGAGCTTGTGGTGGAGTGCACGACATCGTCTCTATCAACGTGTGTCTCCCTCCTGCTGCTTACAAAGCCACCAGAATTCACTCGTGGGGGCTCGGCCTGGATGACCTCATCTAACCTAATCGCTCCCCAAAGGCCCCGCCCCTGAACATCAGGGTTGGACCAGGCTCCCGCCCCCGCAGTGCCAGCAAGTAAGACTTTGGGGATTTAAGGCCTGAACGAATTTGAGGGAAGGAGCCACACTCTAGCTGCCGCAGCAGGTGGATGAGGACCTGGCTCCTGGCTTCCTTTCTACCCTCACCCTCTTCTCTCCCGGATGTTGGGGAACCCCGGGGCCATTTCCGAGGGGCTAGTGGTCTCCTTGAATGCCCCTCCCCCTCCCCTAACTGGCTAAGGTGTTGCTCTGGTGCCTGGGTCTCCATCCCGTGGCCCCCACCCGTCACGTGCTGGGACTCCTCTCCTGTCACCTCTCCCTGTCTCCCTGTGACGACTCAATCATCCCATCAACAAGCATTTAATGAGCACCTCCTACATTCCAGGCGCTTCCTTGGGATACTAGGGCTGGACACCGGACGAGCCCTGTCCTCCTGTGGTCAGCTATAAGCAAAATATGTAGAAAGTCAGAGGGTGGCCGGGAAGGACCTAGAGGTTGGTGGCACAGCTTGTGCGAGGTGACACGGTTTCCAGGCAGACGGAGGAGGCTGTGACACGCTTAGATGTCTTCGGGGACAGCAAATGCAAAGGCCCTGAGGTGGGGCTGTTTCTGGGGTCTCTGGGCCTCCGTGTTCAGCCACTTCCTTGTCACTGACTCCTTAGCCCCCCCCCTTAAACTTGCACTGGGTCTTCCTGGACCTTCCCGTCTCCCAGAGCTGCCCCCTACCCCCAAGTTTCCCTCTCCATCCCCCAAATCCTCCCCTGAGGCTCTCAGGTGGCCAGGCACAGTTGTCCTCCTGCTCCGGTGCCTGAAGCACTGTGGGAGACTTGGGGACAGGTCACTGAAGGTAAAACAGGAGGGTGGCCACGCTCTGCTCAGCCTCCTCCCTGACACCAACAAGGCCTCTCAGCCCAGAGGGAGGTCCTCCCTTCACACTGAGGTGACAGGGCAGGACCAGGAGGCGAACTCGGTCACAGCTGAGTGCAGGTCAGGGCACTCCCCACAGTCCAGAACTTGACAGATGGGTCTTTGGGCAGAAAAACTGAGGGGATGGGACGCCCCAGGACATGTGTCTTCTGCCTGCCCTCGGTGTGAACGTGGTCAGTGCTGTGCGACCTTGGGCAGGTCCCACTACCTCTCTGAGTTCCTTTTCTGCATCTTTATAGAGCTGACATCTCCCATCCCCCTCACCTATGCAACAAGCCTGGGTCAGTAAATGCGGTTTCCAACAGTGCTGTCCTCGTGTTTAGTCATCTGACCGAGATTTCTCCAACCCACGTCAGAAAAAAGGAGAAGTCCAGAAAAGTGGGGCACCCCCGTGATTCTGGCTCCTCAGGAGGCTGAGGCAGGAGTCATCAGGAGTGCGAGGCTGGAAGTCAGTGAGACCGCGTCTCAAGCTGAAAATGAAAAGGCCTGGAGTGTGGCTCCGTGATGGAGCACCCCCGGGTCCGATGTCTAATTCCAGGAGGAAAAAAACTGAGGAGGATTCCTGGAAGGTTCCAGCAGCACGTTCTGGGAAGTCCGCGCCTCGGGTGGGAGAGGGCCACGGGACTGCGATGTCCTCTCTGACCTGCTCAGGAGTGTTCTTAACCAGCCAGGCCTGTGCCTCTGGCTGAATAGAGTATCACCTCTGGTGGGGACAGGCCTCACGGCCAGACTCCAAGACTTGATGGGCCTGAGGTCAAACGCAGGGGAGGCCAGGGGGCAGGAGACAGAGCCACGGGCCCTGGGTTGGCTGTGCCCCTGGGTGCCAGAGACTCCTGCCACCACCCAAGAAATATTCCACTTGAAAAACCAAGGCTCAGAGGCCAGAGGACTGGGCTGCGGGCTCCACGGCTGGGAAGTGCTGCAGCTGGAGTTCAACCCGGGCCTGGGCGTCCAAAGTCCCTCGCCAGCCGTGGCTGCTGGCCCTTGTGACGTCTCTGGGTCGCTCCCTGTCTCTGTCTTTCTGGGTGACTCTGCCTGTTTGGGGTCTTCTGTGTCTCTATTTCTGCCTCTTTGTGTGTCTCTGTCCCCCGATGGCTCTGTCTCTCACCCCTCAGGGTCTGTCTGTCTCTGGTTCTCTCTGAAGGTCTCTCTTCCCCTGGTCTCTGGAAGTTTCTGCCGCCCACCTCCAACGCCCTGGGCCTGGAGCAGTCCCCACAGCAGCCAGTGCTGCTGACCTGGTCCCTGGTCCCTTGCGGTGTCTCCAGGCAGGGGACCAGGGGACCCGGGTGCCCGGCTGAGGGCTCCTGAAGGAGGCAGCCGGCTCCCGGCACCGACGGGACCCTTCCGTGTTCCCGATGGCCGAACCGAGTTTCCCAGCGGGTGTCGCATGCCCAGAGCCGCCAGCCCGGAAGGCCGGGGTGTGGCCTCGGTGCTGACCCCCGTCTCCATCCCGCCGCTCTCTGGGCGCGGGCCAAGGACGTGCCCGTGGCCGCTCCTCCCCGCCCTCGGGAAGGGAGGCTCCTGGCCTCTCCCGCTGTCGGGGCGTGGGTAGCAGCTGGGAGAACCGGCTGCCGCCCCTCCCCGTGGGCCGGGCGAGGTAGGCACCTGGCGGGCTCCGGCGGGCAGCGGCAGACGCTGCCACCGCGCACACCTGCGCCGCCACGGCTCGCGCGTCCTCCCCTCCCCGCCCTCGGCCACCCGCCATGGACCAGGACGGGATCCTGAGCCTGTGGTCCCGCGCCGACGACTCGGACTCCAGGTGAGACCCCGGCCGGGGCCGGCCTGCCCGCGGGACCGCCTGGGGCGCCGCCGGCCTCGGCAAGCTCAGGCGCAGCCGGACTCGCTCGGCTCGTCCCGGTCCCCGGGCTGCAGCCCCTCCCGAGGGCAGCGGGGGGCCCGGGCCTTGCTGAGTCACCGGCCCGCGCCAGGCTGCTCCGGGCGCCTCAGTGGTTCTGTCTGTCAAAGGGGTCCTCGGGGCTTCGTGCCCCCGAGGGAGGGCTTCACCACAGCAGGTGCTGGGGCGCTGGGGGCCCCAGGCGTCCCAGGACACCCCAAGAAAGGCTCCAGGTGACGGGGATGGTTTTCTCCGTGGGGACTCGGAAGGTGCCGCCTGTTCTGCTGGAGGGGAGACCCCCCGGCACGTGGCGGGGCTCCTGGCCGGTGGCTTCAGAGTCTGGAGGGTGGGAGGCTGAGTCCCTGACGCTGCCCTGGTGGAGGAGGACAGGGCAGAGCCCTCGTGGCTCTCCAGGAGCTGGGGACTCCTCGGTGCCTGGGGAAGAGTCAGACCCTCTGATAGTGCTGGCTTCTCAGATGAGGAGGTGACAGGGGAAGTGGGATGACCAAGTCACACGGCCAGAAGCCAATCTGAGCTCAGCCTGTTGGACCCAGAGGTTTCTCCCTCTCCCAGCCCCTTCTCCACAGCTGGCCTATTTGCTCCACTTTTCAGATGAGCAAAGGGAAGCTCAGAGTGGTTAGGCAGCCTGTCTAAGGTCACACAGCCAGTGGCTGAGATGACCTCCAACCCCTGAGATCTTCCGCTCTTGCCAGGCAAAACTTTCCTGGCCTCTTGGGCCACTCCAGCCACCGTGGGCCGTGAAGAAGGGGACAGCCCAGCCCTGTCCCCACCCTAGTTACCTCACTCCAGCTTTCCCTTCTCCTGTTTCTACCAGGAACCAGGGTGTGGGGAGGCTCCCTGGAGCTCAGGACTCCAGACACCATTCAGTTGAACCTTGGTTGCTGTGTGACCAGGCAAACTTCCTAGTGTCTCTGGGCCTTCTTCTCCTTGAGGAAGATTCCAGCACTCTCAGCATGCTTTTGCCCAGGTCTTCCCTGGGAGGTAAACCAGCCTGCCCCCAGGGTCCCTAGCTCTGGGAAGGACCGCCCCCCACCCAAGCACCTGGGAGCCTCATCTCTGCTACCGCCCAGCCAGTCAGCCACAAAGTCCTCGGATTGGCCTTCTTGATTCAGTCCTTTGGCCCTTCTGAACCTCAGTTTCTTCATCTGAGTCATGGGGATAAATGCATCTGCTCCCAAACTGAGTGTCCAGGGTCCCCTGTGTGGTGCCCTTCCCCCACTTCCATGAGCTTCTGGGACCCCCTGGAACTGGAAGGACGCCCCTCATGAGCCTCGAATCACCCTTCTGGGGCCATTTCCTAATGGACACAGTGTCCCAACGGAACTGAGCAGCTCTCCAAGAACAGCTGCTCCTCCTGATGGTCCCTCCGTTCCTGGGGCAGGACCCCAGCACTGCCACTGCCCCCTCTTCCCCGTGCTCCCCACCATTGCCAGTCAGTGCCCGAGTCCCACCCCTGTCCCAGGCTCTCCCTCTCATCAGCCCTTGTCATCTCCTCCTGAGCCTCACCCCAGCCTCCCCGCCTCCACTGGCCCCAGAGCTGCCTCTCCCATCCTCCCAGTCCCTGGCAGGTCCTGGTGTGCCGGCCTCACCCCCACCCAGCCCGTCTCTGCTGTCACCCCTCGGCCCTGGGACCGCGCCTCCCTGGCCACGCCTCATTCTTCACATCCCAGCGCCTCCCGCTGATTCCCAGAGAGGCTCTTCTCTAGCTCCGTATGTCCCCCGCGTCCCTGCTCTAGGTCCTTCCGCGGCTCCCCAGACTCGAACACACGGATTTCCTTTGTCCAAGAGGAATCTCCTCCCAAGCACGGCGCACACTAGAGTCCAGGGCAGAACTGCTCCCATGCGACACCAGGGAGTGGACAGGGCGGAGGCCCCTCGCCCTCGGCCCCCTCGGTCCCTCGGCCTTAGTGGAGACGGTGGCAGCAGCCATCAGAGAGCCCAGGGTGCCCGTGGCAACCCCCTGGCGTCGATGCCCTCTCTGGCCCTGTGCCCCTCCAGCCGGCCGTGGTCACCCACTCTGGGCCTCTGTGCGGACAGCCCCCCTGGTCCTTGGCGACCTCTGCCCCCCTCTTCCATTCGCCAAGCTGCTTCTCTGGTCTAAAGATGCGGCCCTGGTGGTTCGGAATTGGCCAGGAAGGGGAGAGGACGTGCCCAGGACAGTCCCTGGTCACGCTGCTGCGTCCCTGAACGCTGGCCTGTCGGTGGACAGGGGCGGAATGTGGGGAATCCATGAGGACGCTGTCCAGGAACGAATGAATGGAGGGGAGGGGAGGCCGAGCCACGTGGGATGAGTCAGGGTGACAGGGGGGGGGGCAGGGCGTGCCGCAGAGAGAGGCCGAGGGCAGAGGCCACGGAGAGAGAGAGGCAGCCTTGAGCCCAGTCACAGCCCTGGAGAAGAGGCCCCGAGGACCAGGGTCCAGCAGAGACACAGGCGACTCTTAATTGAAGTGAAGGAAAAAAAAAAAAAAAAAAACTCTGTCTACACACAGATTCCATTTTTAAGCAAGAAAAGCCAGACTCTACATTGTTTTCAGATTACAAAACCCCCCAAGATTGAATCTGGGCTGCAGGATACACAGCAAGACACTTGGCTTGGAGTGTTTGGGGTCACAGGTTTGTTATGCTCAAGACTCGCTGTGTTCGGTGCACCTTGTGCGTATTCGAAGGACTGTCGAGGGCCATAAGTGCAAAATTTAAGTTTTAAGAAGAAAAAGATGCAGGCCGTAGGCAGGAGGGAGGGCTGAACCCCGAGTTCACGGATCCCTCCAGCACCTTGACCTGCTTACTGTGCACCCGTATTGTCTCCTTTAATCCTCCCAATGACTTGCCTGGCTGAGATTCACCCGGGTGAATGATTAAGTATGGTTATCCCATTAAAGAGTTGAGCCCAGAGAGGTTTGGGTCTTGCAAGGTCACACAGCAGGGCGTGGCCAAGATTTGAACCAGGGAAACCTGACTTTCTCACACCCCGGGAAGGGGATTTGGGTATGAGAAAGGTCCAAGAAATAGCCCCCGCCCCTGCCCTGACAGGAGGTTCGGCGAGGACTGCGCGTGTTGCGACGTTTTCTCGTACACATCTCCCTTCTGGACAGGGTCAGGGCCGGAGAAACCCAGCTGGCTTGGCTGGGAGAACGCCTCCGTCTCCACTCCTCACCCTCTGGTCTCAGAGTCCCCTGTGTGGGCACTTTTGGTCTCTGCTCTCTATGGCCGGGGTGGCCAGCTCTGGTTTTACAGCCCCAGTGCCTCATGCCCAGGGAGGGCCAGGGCCACTCAGGGGACTCGACAGCCGCAGCCCAGCCCGGCCAGGACAGAGACCTTGAACAACAGTGGCCTTGGCTCTCGGGCGGGACTCGGGCAGGCAGGTCAGGCAGGCCGTGGGGTGAGGGAGAGCCAGTCGCTCGCGGTCTCCTGGGTCCCATCTGCTCTCTGTGGAGGGAGCAGCTGTGCCTCGTGGTCCCGTGGAGACACCGACAGGTGCCCAGGTCAGAAGGGAGGACTGTCGGGACCTGATGTAAAGAAGGGAGAAGCTCAGTTTGTCCTCCTGGGACGCCCTGGGGGACGGACAGTGGGACCCCCTGGCCGTCGAGGGCATTAATGTGGGGTGAGAAGGGGGACCCTGGTTTTGCAGACAGCTCTCACACAGGTCAGGAAAAGTGGGGACCCTGCCAGGCCCGGCCACAAGACCCTCGAGAAGTGCCCTCTGAGCTCCTGTCCCGTCCCTGTGGCTCACTGGCAGGGTCACTGATGGAGCAGTGACATCAGGGAGGGCAGTCACCCTCCCGGGCCCCTGTGCGGCTGTCCACTGATGTCCACTGAGCAGCGATGTGCCTGCGGGCGGGGCGGGTTTGCTCCTTTCTCCTTCTCCAAGTCCCCACGGCTCCTCCTGAGCCAGGAACTCAGGTGCTGAGGAGGCTGGGGACAGGGTGGAGACTGAGAGCGATACAGCCTTCCCGAGGGCTTCTCCTGAGCCAGGCCCTGCTCCCAGGGCAGAGGGGAAGGAGCTCATGCCATCCATCCCAGCCGTGGCCCCTGAGGTGGCCCTGCGCTGTGTTCCCATCTACAGGTGGGAATCGTGCACCTGGGATGATCCCGAGGCCCCTTCGTCACCCCTGCTAGAGGAAGGGACCAGCCGGGGATGCAGACTGCAGGGAGAGGTGCCCCTGTTTTTCCACTGGAGACTTGTCGCTCCCCATGGGGCCGATGAGACTGTGCATCCTCCCTACACACCGCGAGCAAGGCCCGTGGGGAAAGCCTTCCTGGTCACCACATTAAGAAGAGAGTCAAAGAAAGGGGTGAAGTCGCCTGGCATGGCGGCCCACACCTGTGATCCCAGCAAGTCGGGAGGCTGAGGCAGGAGGATGGCAAGTTCAAGGCCAGCCTCAGCCACTTAGCAACTCAGTGAGACCCTGTCTCTAAACAAAATGCAAAAAAAGGGCTGGGCGGGGGAGATGGGGCTCAGTGGTTAAGCACCCCTGGGTTCAATCCCTGGTACCAAAACCAGAAAAAGGGTAAAATGAATTTTAATCATGTCTTAACCCAGTAGATCCAAAGTGGACCGATTTCAACGTGTGATTGATTTTTAAAAAGTATTAGCAAGGTATTTCGATTTGGGGTTCCCACTGAGCCTTCGAGCTGTGTCTTCAAATCCTCTCCCTGCTGTGCTGCGAGACCTCGGCGGCCCCTCATGGCTGGAAAAACAGCCGGGCCCAAGGTCTCCCAGCGTCTGAACCCAGTGTCACCGAGAAACAGTAGCAATGAAATCAAGTTAGCAGCTCACCAAGTCACAGGCGGCTGTCCCTGCAGCCCTGTCCTCCCTGAGGCTCAGATGCAGGCTGTGTGCGCCCCAAGGGCAGGAGAGGCACACAGTAGGCACCTAATAGACGGAAGGTGGCAGGGAGAGAGAC